TCTGACAGCCATCAAGGCTGCAAATCTGGTAATTTTGACTGTATTTCAAGCATTGACTCATCTCATGCAACATGTGGCACAGAAACCTGAAAAGGGCATGAGAAAAGGCATATATATATGTTTGATTTGATATAGACAGATTTGGAATGTCTCCATTTGAGAAGAAATGGAAGATGTGTTTGAAGAGCTGGGTTCTGTTCTGCCTAGGGAAGTCAACCAACACCACAGTCAAGGAGGGATGGCAAGAAGGACTAGCAGGAGAGACAGGGCAAGAAGCATTAACCTTTGTGAAACATCTATGCCATGGACTTGGAGAAGACCAAGTTCAGGTAAGTTAGGATGCACCCCCAAGCATGCTAAAGAACTCTAAAATGATTGCTTTCAGTTCCTTTTTTTCTAAAATTTAAGTCTTCTACTCATTGTTACATAGTCCTGCATTATGTTAATGCATTTTGGCTTCCCATGAGTAAAGCCTGAGGCTTCGAAAGAGCATGGGATGGAAATGACTTGTGAAGAGCGAAGAGGGAAGGGAAGCAGCTCTCAAGAGAAATCAGTTTTACAATTGAAGGACTGAATGGCTCTTCATAGTTCAGCACGCACTCAGGGTTCAATGTTGAGTTGTCTAGGTTCACAGGACAGCAGGATCAAAATCTTACAGGACCCTTTCCTCAGAGCTAGGAGCCTCACCACAGCCCTCTACGTTCTGAAGCATCCTACAGCCGCAGAAGGATAGTGCTTGCTAAGTACTCCAAGCCACCATATTTTAACTTGTACCTTTTGTTGTTGTTRTTGTTGTTGTTTGTTTTCTTCTCCAACGACTCCACCACAATCTACAGCAGAAGCAAACCAGCAACATGGACTGCTAGAACCCAACATCCAGAGCATCAGCTTACTATCTCCTAACACGCCTGCATCTGCTCTGTTTGAAAAGGCAGAGACTGAAATTTCCACCTSTCTTTTCCCTTTCTCTAAGCAGAACAAGTTCCCAAACAGCAGTGAATTCTTTAGAGGCCGAAACGCAAATATCATAGAATAGTTTGTTTGTAGCGTGGCCCATGGTCTTCACAAAGTTTATGTTGTTACAGTTATTCATAATCTATGGTTGTTAGAACACTTAATGAAATGGCCAACTCTTACCTACTCGTATTGTATTGGGGGTGGAAAGTGAGCCAACAGAATATGCTTCTACCATCAATGTGAATGACATCTCGGTGGTGACAAGATTAGTAAAACCATTCGAACAACACTACATCCTCATGGATTGATTCACCTTCAGTAGTTTTTCCAATATTCATCAGTTTCCCCAGCATTTTTTAATGGAAAGTAGTTCATAAATAAGGCCTGCCACACCATGAGTTGCCATTCAACAAGACTGTCAAGATTAAAAACTGAGGTTGCCAATCTTTATGTGAAACTATCACTGTTATTCATCTTACACTCTTTGCCAGTGTCTCCAGCTAAGCTGCAAGATGGGAGGAGTTTAACGGAGGAGCATAATTTTAAACTCCACAGGGGCTCTTTTTATTTGTCTTTGTGTGTTTAGTGGCACGTGAATCGAGACAGTTGGGCCTGTACTTACTTACAAAGCAATMAAGATATTTGTCCAAACTTACAGAACTGCTGACTTCCAACACACCTGCTGTTAGGAGCCAGCCGTGGGGTCAGAGAAATAGATATGATCTATTTTCTACATTACAAATAGTGACAGCTGAAAACCATGAGACCTGCAGGAGACATGGTTTGCAGTGTTCCTCAAGGATTTTGCAGATCCAAACAAATCCTCACTTCAGGAAAGCCATACTTTTTGCATCCTATAGTATATACATAAAATCATTTCTTTTAAAAAATACTCCATGGAGTATTTTTTATTTATATTCATGGTGAATTATCTATACTCCWTTAGAGAATCATACCTCTGTATCCCCCTCATTTCTAAACAGTTGTGAAAAATGAGTCATCCCAAACTTTAAAAGAAAAGAAAAAAGAAAAAAGTGAATGACCATGCTACAGCACTTCTAGAGAAATTTAGTGCTGGTTGGCAGCCATATATACAGATGAAATAAGCACCACTTTAAATGTTTTATTATCTAGTCAGAAGTCTAATATTCCAAATACTAGAATATACAGATTATGATCAGCTTCTCTATTCTCAAAAACTGATGGAGCATGAAAGCTGATCAGAATTCTGAATTTCTGCTTTGTGAGAAGCTTTAAATACACACACACACACACACACACTCACTCACCTCCTTCCTATTAAGAAGGAAAGTAAAGTCTTAAAGAAAAACTGTGCCAGTCTCTCAGAAGCACTACCTTGATACCTTCAGTTACTACTCTCAAATTATAGAAATTGTTATTATTTCATGAGTAAAAAAATGAGTACTGCATTTTAATATATATACAGATGCCAGTATACAGATATTGTATAATTTTAATGTCCTATAGGACAACTTCTAATTAGTACTAATGTTGAGAATCTCWTTTTTTTTTCCTGTTAAATTGCACTTCAACTGCACCGTTTCTATTCTCTGGTTGTTCATTAAAATAAACAAAATATTGTGAGGAAAAGTAAAATCCAAGAACATAAACTTTTGACAGCCACCTTTGTTCAGGCAAAGTTGGTATATCAATAAGTCTGACAGCTGTAGTCACCAGCAAGCAAAACTGATAAGCAGAGTTGTTACAAATGCAAGTGAGGCCAGTCACTAGACATTAATAACCAGTGAGCAGAAGTAATTCCCTGGCAAGTGGCAGCCAGGAAGGTACACGAGCTCTGCACACTCCTGGGCATTTCAAAATATGCTCTTCCAATAAATGTTTGTGCAGCCAAACAAGTGTCCAATATACCGGGAAAAGAAGCTGCACTCCAAATCTACATTCTATTAAAGATGTTCTTGTTGATGCACATTGAGCTACCACATACTAACCTTATTTCAAAAACATTTACGGGACTAATGTAGTACTTAGGGATGGATAAATGACCAGTAGTGCTCAGGTGTAGCTGCCACTCACACTAAAAGTTCAAGCAGCAAAAGGGGGGAAAAATAATAGAGCTTCAGCCAAGGTCTCTGCTTGTTTCCTATGGCACTGGCTCAGCATGAACCAAAATCCTGCCTCTCCCCRGGTCCTTCCAAGCAAATGAGGCACAAGAGAAAGAGGCAGTTAATGAACAAGCTGCATTTTTTTGCCCAGATTCAGCACAATGCAGTTTGGCACAGGTGCACTTTTAACAATGATAAATCTGTAAAGTTCACRTTGATTAATGACTCTCAAATTTTCACATTCACACATCTCGAAGAGAGAAGGCGGACCAAGCTGTCTCCACTCCCTTGATATTTTGTGCTGCCTTTTTTTCCTCTTCTTTTTCTATGCAAACAAACAATAAAACCCTGTTTCTAAGTATCTATTTTTAGCTGTAACATTTAAAGGCAGAGCTGGATTATCTTAAAACACAGTTTTGAGTAAAGCAAAGTAGCATTTAAGAGAGCTGCTGAAACAGTAAAGAAGTTGAAGGACAGTCACATATTTATGGTGAATGTGCCACCAGCCTATCATCATAACATCAAGGCATATTCCACAAGAAAAGAGACAGCTATTGCCACCATCCTTAATGTTTATTCCTATCAGAAGTAGGTGTTTTTAGGTGTTCCCCCCCCCCCCCCCAAGTACCAGGGCAGTGGTAGGAGGATTTTAAAGAGAGTCGGATTCAAATGACCTTCCTATCAGATGTGGTCAGTCACCAGACATTCTTACTACAGAACATTTTGCATACTGCTTTTGTTTGTCTTCATAGTTAAAATCATTAAAGCCATTTGAAATAAGAATTATTTCAACTATTTTGGTAGTAGCTACTCTACTGTAGAAAGTCTACCAGAGATCTACTGGCTTATCTAAACGAAATACAAGAGATCTCACTTCAACAGAGAAGGCAACTTGATGATTTTCTAAGACCTCAGTTATTCCAAGAAGGAAAACATATATTTGCATAGATATATTAGTGTCCAAGCAGTATCAGGAAAATCCAAAATTGTGTGTTTTCTCTATTTTGCCCAAAATACTTGAATTACTAACTTGAAAGTCATGCATACTCAGATCTGAAGTGACACTTTCTTCATTACATAGGAGAAAGGGCATTTCCCTCTCACATGAAATGAAACAACCAAAATATGGCTCTTCAATCAATGCTCTCATGTTCAAAACATGGAATCCACCACAGTAAGACAAATATGACTTTAAATAAAAARCAGATGGAAAATCATACATAACTGCTCAATATCACAAGTCTCAACTAAGTATACCCAATTAAAGGTGKTTTTTTCAGCATCATTTGAGTTATTCAAGTCAGCCAATAGCTATCAACCCAGCCACAGGAAGATGATGAATCCAATGGCAGCTGCTACACATTTGTATTAGCAAAGTTACCTAAAACAGCAGCATTAGAGCACCTTGTTGGTGTAGATCACACATTCCAATTAGATGTTTTGTGGGAATGTTTTGCACCCCCTCCTCCTCCAAAAGGGGAAAGAGAATAGACTAAGCTAAATCATTTCATCAAATTGCAGGAAGGAAATGCATAATCTAGTTGAGAACACATAGACAATGCTGCCCAGGTTAACATTCTGCATTCTTCACTCTAATTAGCTTCTTTGGAGCAGATTGCTCTCAATAAGCTCTAGAAAATTGAGCTTGATTCACTGGAGACAATCTGGGTTCAGTTGTTAACCTTTCAGCCTTTAAACGAGGAAACTTCTTTAAGACATACAACATTAACAAGTACACTTGTCAATACAAATCAGAACTACATCAGGATTTTTTTTTTTTAAGCACCAGAAGAACTCAGAAGAGAAAAATAAAGAGCTAAMAAGCTATATATATTTCTGATTAACATAGTTAGACTCCACCTGAACAAGACTGGAGAAGAGATGAGGAGTGTTAACATGCTGAAGTGGTYCTTGAATTTGAATAGGACTGATAATACTGTAACTTAAGTGCAGACTTACCCACAGGCCCAGGGATGTAGGGATGTTGCCRGCCAGCATTTCTGTGGGGCAGAAGGTGAGAAATCCAGCCCTTCTCTCTCTCAAATCAGCTGATGTGATCAGGGCAGGTCAGTGTGCCCATTCCCACAGAGGCTGCATCTGTTCCTRAAAGCCGTTGCATTAAAATGTAGCATCATATTCCTTTGTACCAATTCCAGGCTTTTTAGGTGAGGTGAACCAAATCCTGATATTTCTTCAGCATCTGGAGTTGCCTCAAGTGATACTGGCAATGGAGAAAATAGGGTTGGCCCAAAGGTCAGACAACTGGAAGATTAAATGGGAACATAATAAACGGTTMTAACAGTTTCAGAATTGTTCCCGTTTTCCTTTTGCAACAACTTTTCAATTATAACCACCTAGTAAAAAGAGCAAACAGGAAACCAAAAGGTTTTGCTGACTCAGATGTAGTAGTTAGGGGGGCTTAAATTTCCCTTTGGGGAAACTCAGATCATCTGCTTCAGTATTAATTCAAACCAGGAAAGTTTAAAAATATTTTTGAAATTAATATTTAATCTCAACACAGAGAATTTAGATGAGAACAGTCACGAGCAGTTATCCGAGGTTAGGAAGGTAGCTCATAAAGGAGCCTAGTCCGTGATCAGAAAGTAACTAGCTGAAAAATTGTTTTATAGAGCTTCACTGTAAAAATATATACATAGACACATTATATATATATATATATACACACACACACATATAATGTAACTGAGGACCTTGCTAATAATCACAGGAGGGGAAGGGAAAGCCTTTTACTTTTTTTTTATTGGGCAATTGTTTGCAACTTTAATGTTTCTCCATATGCCCGGTAAAAAGATTCMCCTTAGTAATTACACAATGGTTCAGGTTGCAAGGGACCTCTAGAGATCATCTAGTCCAACTCAGAGCACCGGGCACAGGGTGGCATACAGGAGGGTTTGGAAGACCTCCAGAGAAGGAGACTCCACAGCCTCCCTGGGCAGCCTGTKCCAGGGAAGGCTCACAGGAAAGAAGTTCCTCCCCACCTGGATATGGAACTGCCTGTGTTTCAAGTCGTACCTATTGCCCCTTGTCCTGTCACCGGCCACCACTGAGAAGAGTTTGGCTCCTTCCTCTCAGTCTTCTCTTCTCCAGGCTAAAAAGGCCCAGCTCGCTTAGTCTTTCCYCATACAAGAAGTGTTCCAGTCCCTTAATCATCTTTGTCAGACTGCGCTGGACTCTCTCTAGAAGCTACACATCCCTCTTGCACTGCAGGAAACTAACCTGGTAAATGCAATGACCAGTTTTCTTCAGGTTTAGTGAGTTCAATTAGCTTATTGCAAGGTCAGAAAAACACTAGATATGATCTAAGGAATAAATAATTCTGCTCTATGCATTCTGTGCATAGAGCACAAACAAAGGAAGGGGGGAAAGGYGGAAGAGGAGACAGAAACAACCCCTCCACTTGGTGGTACCAAGTCACTGCATTATCTCAGGTATACAGTCAAGCCACTCTTGCAAATTCTAAAGTTGCAAGCACAGAGTTGATCTAAAAAATGACCTCGTGAGGTATGGTTACATCATCCCAATAGGGCATATATTAAGAGGGTCCAAACTGTGCTAGAAAGAGTAATTTCACCAGAACCACCCCCACACTTCCAACACACAGCTCTTTGGTGCCCTTACACAGAGGACTTTAGAAGAGGAGATCGGTGGAGACTCTCCTTCTCTCTTCCCTTCTCCTACCCATGTGACTGGTCCCTACAGTCACCACTTAGCCACCTTAGGGACTAGGAGTCTAGAATTTAGGCCACTTGGAGCTAGGAGTTCACACTCCTTGAAGTTCTCATGCAAAGAAAGCTTTCATCTACAAAAGACTCAATGTTTAAAACTCTAAAAATATCCAAGCAGTCAAACAAGTAACACAAACACTGCATAAGGAACTGATCATTCATATTTGACAAGAGAAATCATGCACTGAAAGTCCCATTGTGGAAAATCAACACAAGCCTATAACTCCTGCCAATAGTTGTCCTGCAGATCTAATGCTACTGCATTTACTTTAAAGTAAATGAGAATTAGGGACATATTGTCAATGTGGTAGATGAGCTGTTTGTCTAATGGAAACCTGTGTGTATCCTATAATAGGAGTAACTGACAGATATTCACTATGTGGTATGTTTTCCTCAGAGTTTTGGGCATTATTTGAGCCCATTCTTTAAGCATGAAAAAAATAACAGCTCACCTAGACACATGAATAAGAAGGTACTGCACAACAATGCATTATTAGAAATGAAAGAAAAATGAAGGCAAGTCATTTACAAGTGATTTAAATGGATTAGGACTACTAGGCTTTTTTTCTCCTCTCTCTCAATTACTAAAATAGGTCCTTCCCTCTTTCCTCCCATCAGGAGCTGTGGCAGGTCACTTTATCAGTATATAATCTCAAAAGTAAGATATTTTTGCAGCAAAACAAACCTTCAGAGTAGCCCTGATTTCATACAGTCTGGATGGGATGGACAGTCAAGGAAAATTAATCTGTTTTTTTCTGACAGGAATTGTCTTCAGACATTCCAATACATTACATATTGAATGCTTTTCCAAAAGCATYGAGGAGAGAGAAGCTGTCTTCCTCTCTCCTGGTAGCCAACARCTTGCTAGGAATAAGACGACTATAGACAGTAACAGACTTTAAGACAAAGACTTGTTTGGGAAATAGGAAGGAAGAGGGTTTATGCAGTGTTTGAAAAACAGAGGTTTGTTTATGAAATGTCTCATTCCAGTGTTTAAAAACGCTTGCTTTTTTTCAGACAGCAGTTTGACTACCATAAACCTGATCTTCTCCCTCCCCCCCAACTCATTATTCCCCAAGGACATTAACATTTCAACAAAAATAAGAGAGGAGATTCTTTGATAACGTTTCCAAAGAACARACAAACAACCCTTGAAGTCACCTCTACAGGCAAAACAACTTAGTTACCCAGAAGAAATAAAAATCCAGGTCTTAACTCATTAAGAATTGAATTTAGCTACGTGTTTGGCACATCTTGTGCATTCATACATACATCAGTTGGCTGCCCAGTAATCTAAAAAGATTATGTGAATTAATATTACAAGATACTATTACAAGAAATAGTTAACTTAAACATGTAGAAATCAGGAGATAAAGTTTGAAACTTTCATTCTGCATTAATAAAAGCTTGTGCTCAAATACTGTATAAGTGTCCAAGGCCCGTGACGTGACTGAAAAGCTACCGTCTCAGAGTACATGTCAGAGACCTTAATCTAAGATAGGCAAAAGTAGACTCTCCAGAGAACTGGGACTTTTAAAAACGTGATGAGAGTTTTGGCCTTGGATCCCACCTTAGTCCGCAGCAGTTAAAGATCTCAGCAATAGCTACCAGCATAGGGAGAGGTTTTCACCCTGCCTGCAGTCAGCAGGAAACGTGTTCTCACCTCACCCACTTCAGCCCACAATCTGATCCCTGCTTTGGGCTCCTGATGGGTTGAAGCTTGGCTGCCAGACTGTGTCCAACAGCCCGGGCCTTGCAGACGTGTTGTGCCTCACCAGCTCTCGTTGGGTGGCATGAACACCTGGGAGAGGTGCCACAGAGATGCTTCAACGGGCACAGTTCACCTGCCAGCACTTGGGGGGGAAAAATGCCATAGACTTATTTTATCCTGACGCTGATACGAGTTAAGAGCTCGTATCACTGCAACCTTGGCTGACAAGCTATGATTTTAATTACCCCACTTGATCATTACTACACCTAAAGACAGACATTAGCGCTGTACTTTGAGACAAACAAGAACAATTTGTGAAGGCAAAGCTGAGTTTTGAACATTTTGTAACAGATCAGAGTTGAATGTGGACACCTCCAGTGTATCCAGTTTCCAAGATTAAAAGTTTCAGTTTAAAAATCATGTTTCTGACATTTATTTCCTAAAACATCCTTTCATATTTAATGATTTTGTCCTCTTTAGTCTGAAGGCAGCTTGAGAACAATAGTGACTCATTGCTGGAAACTGTTGAACTCTGGACTTGGACCACAGCTCCCGAAAACCTGCTCCAAAATGAAGAGTTAAACATACGTTGGCCAGCCAGTGTTGACCATAAACCTGGCATTTCCAGTGTCATTATATGCCAAATAAGCTGGCTTCTAAAGAAGGAAGAGATGAACACAGCTCATGTTTGAGCACAACAGAGGAGGAAGCGCCCCATTTCACCAAGCATCCACAGCACATCACCAGAAACACAGACCTCTTCCACCTCCTAAGGATACAACAACTATCTAGCAGGCTGCCAGCACACTCCTGCTTACTTCCAAAATAGTTCTGAGGTTTCAGTACATCATTTTCCAGCACAAACTGATAGGTTGGAGCAGCTACAATGACCTGTACTAYCAGCAATTTATATTGATTTACTAATCATACTAATTATTACTCATCATTGGCACAAAACCCACTCCTGCATGAGCATTGTAAGGTTTTATGTCACACTTATGCCCAGAAAAAAATTCTCCCTGTAGTAATTGAAACTCAGAGGCCATGGATTTCTTGCAGATTTCATTATATTGAGTTAAACCCAAAATAACTTTCAAAAGTTCCCTCAGGATTTGGAGTCATTCCTCCCACAGTACTGCAGGAACCACAGGCCTCTGCCACAGGACAAGACTGGTGGAACGAGTAAGAATCCACGGCATATGTGCATTTAAGTGACACCCTGGTCTCCTGTTCCTGTGGGAGTCACCAGGTGGCATCATTACACAGGTTGACATCATCTTTTCCTTTGCATATAAGCACGGTTCTGTCAATGAACAAGTTCCTACAGTGGTTTGTAGGGCTATTTCTTAGCAGAGYGTTGTGGTAAGCACAAAATGTCCTGGCCACCTTATTTTCACTACTGGAGATCAAGTTTGAAGGTGAAGTCTATAAGCCTGATAACTAAACATCAGCAAACTGTCTGGCAACTGTATGCAAGATGTGATCCAGGAATGAGCAACTATTGCCAACAATTTAAGGCAGAAACACACTACTGGGTGATGCTCCTGGCTTTTTAAGAGCAATTCATTCATCTGCAGCAACTCTGGGGGCTTTCTGGTCTGTCACAGAAGGTCTACAGCAGAGTTTCAACCTTAACTGCTGACACTGAAAGCTCTGCCAAGGAGAGGGCAGGAGGAGGAGAMGTGACAGAACAAGAGATAAGTAATGCTACTAGAGGCGGAAAGGTACAGGTATTTGCAGATTTAGAAGAGAGAAACCGGTAGC